CAGAGTAAGGGCATTTTGACATCTGAAAGCCTTTGGGGTTTTTATACTTGGGCTCTTTCAATTTTTTATTTTTTTTTTTAATTTAAGGTAGACCAGGTAGGATGGATAAAGGACTTGATGATGTTCCTTAAGCACTTGAAGCATATTAGAACAAAGAAATTAATTTGGCTCCCCCTTCACAACACCAGCATTATACATGGTCAATGAGAAGCTTGTTTATGTTTCTGTTCATCCAGAGCTGGAAGAATCTAGTAACCATTTCTGCTTCTTTGTGAAAAAATGTTCTCGGTTACAAAATGGACTGCCAAAAAATACATTAAAGAACAGAGCTTTTATATTGTCACTAACAGTGGCCTTGGATTTGCACGTAAACCTCTAGATGAAAAAAGTCTCATGCATATAAACAACATTCAAAAATACTAGTTGAATGTTAAAAGGAAGCATTATGGTCAAAGAAATACAGCACGTTTTTTCCCCTGACCTAATCATTGAGGTTTTCTGAAATTCTAAAAGTTCTCAAGATAAGTAACTGTCTTTTCCTCCCCTGTATAAGACATCAGTGCATATTGTTCTATTTTCACTGTTCAAACTGACAAATGATGTTAAGCTTAAAATAGTGTTTCCAGCTCATACAGCTCATTTTTGTGAATTCTTTAATGTCTGATGTATTCTCTAGGGATATCTTCATGGAGTTACATTTCAAGCAGCAGTTCCAAAATATTTTATCTAGCGTAAAGACCTCAATTCACTTTCCAGAATAAATACTGATGCTGAGTAAATCTTTTTTTCCTGATTTGTGAGTAAATAAGCTGTTGCTTCGAAAAGCCTGTGTTTGTTAACGGAAAGTAAAAGGATAAGTATGTTCCTTCAGTGTAAAGAAATATAACAAAATCTTCTGTATGGACCTAGCTGGTGCACAAGTGACAATTCAATGTGAATTTTCAGATGAAATGTTCTAGAGACACAAGACCTGAATAACAAAAGTAAATAGACAACTCAGTTTTCAGCAACAACAGAAAACCCTGAAATACAACTTTAAAATATCCTGAAGGAGGAAACTTGATCACCAGTCTGCTTTTCTTCCTCTGGTCAGGATTGAATAGTTGAAGGGAAGGGCCGTAGTGCCCTCAAGTGAGAAAATGTATACTGCCCAGTACGTGCTCTGCTTCTCTTGTGTTGTTCTCTGCTGTTACAGGGATTGCGGTTGAACCAAAGTACATAAATGAAAGGAAATGAGACTGTTTAGATTGTACCGTGACCTCATTCACACAACTTTGTGTGCCACCTCAAACACTTTTGTAATCATTGTTAACTCAGTATCAGAGGAAACTGGTCTGCAGTGATAGGGACTTGCAGCGTACCAAACTGTCATTGAGGGCTCTTCTGCTAACAGAACCTATTATTTAATGCTAGACTATCCTTCTGTTGGCTTCATAAAACCAAGCATTAATACTGGCAGGTTGCTGCTAAATCTGTCTCATGCCTCTGAATATCTGTACACCAAATCATGGTCATTATTCATGCTTTTATCAGCTGTTTCTGCAGCAAGAGGGCACTTCATCCCCTTTCATCTTTAGGATTCACTCGTCAGGCGATTAGGGGGATTTGTGTCTGACAGCTAAATAATCTAATTATACTCGCCTTGCAGAAATAGTGGGATCAAGATTCTGCCTGTTTTGTTGATATGTTCTGTTGTGTGTTGGGAGTCAACCGAGACTTGGAGTCAGGAAGCATGAACTCTACTTGCACCACATGTTTCTTGTGTGATGGGACTAAGCAAGTCAGAGTAGTGTCTGCAGAGTAATGTAAGTGGAACAAGGCTGACTGCCATCATCTAGAAATGAGATTTATGGTAATCAGCATACTGGAGGAGGGTAGAGGGAAACTGAAATGGTACTCTTCAGAAGTGTCTCTGAACCACCAGGCTAGAGACACAAAGGCAGAGGGGAATATGTTAGCTACCCTTTTTGCTGGTGCTGAAACCATTCTGCAGCCAAGAATTCAAGACATAAAGGGCCAGAGAGAAAATGCAGAACTTCACTTATCTTTGCAGCCTGGCAATTAGGACACTGCTGGAAGGGCGTCATCATGGGCATTCTGGTTCATGCTGCATGTGACATTTTATTGTAAACATTACTGACAAAATGATAGAGTTAGGTAAATGGAGGGAGAGAGTTCATGCTGGGAGATGTCAGTTGATGCTGGCAGGGTTGAGGATCCTGCTCTTGCATTTGGAGCGTCTAAATTCCCCAAAAGTCCTTCAAGTTCTAAGTCATTTTTTGTGCCTCTGTCCCAAAGGGGTAAGATCTGCTTGTTTCTTGGGAATATTGAGCCTGATAGGTAGGAATGAATCGGGTAAGACTAAGTAGTGTGAAAGCTGGAGTTGTATATCAGTATTTTGCAGCATAGATCAATGTGTCTAGAAGGGCTTGGAGGACATTTTTTTCTGAATTGACCTTCTTATGTAAAGGAAGAACAGAGGAGGAGAAAGAATTGTATTGAAATCTTCAGTTCAACACAATTAAGAGTATTCTTTGCTCCCATGTTTCATTTTTTAGAAGTGAGGAAGGTTTTGGTAAATTATGCTGGGCCTTCAACTGCAGAAGAGACCAAAATACCCTATAGAAACTAGTCCCTGAGAAGAAGAGTCTATGTCATGGAGATGTGTGTTGAATCAGCAAGAATTTAAGTTGGGCTTGCTTGGTTCTCCTAGCCACTAGTAAATTTGGTAGATATTTGACATGTATGAGAGTATGAGTGATGTAGAACAGTTGGAGAGTCAGAAGGGGAGTTTCTGGCTCATATGGGAGGAGATCTGTCTGTCTCCCATTTCTCTTGTCAGAAAAATTGGTAACTGTGATAATACTACTCGATCTGGGACTCCCAGCATGCAGATCTTAGCTATACTTGAGGTTTTATCCTGTTAAAGCAGAACCATCAGACTTAACAGATCACAGAGGATTCAGTGTCTCTTAGAGTGAGGAAAGTTTATCTTGCATGTTTCCTAATGAACAAATGAGTACTATATTAAGTTTCATGGAGATGTTTTAGGAGTGTTTTCCATGCAAATGTGTGGATCAGTATAGACTAATTGTAAACATAAATAAATCGTAATTTAAAAAAAATCTCCTTTAGTATGTTTTTACAGGAAGAATAAAACTTTTTGGCAGCACAGGTCTACCTGAAACCAGATTTGCATGGCCTATCCATTTTCTTTCCTTTTTCCTGTCAGTGGTGCTTGCGTCACCCCTCAAAGTCCTTGAGTGCAGTCCCCTTACAATTAAAGAATACCAGTTCCACTTGTCTTCTCCTGTCCCTGTCCCATAACAAATTCCAGTGTCCCTCCTCACTGGAGTGGGTTCTGTGCGACCCTCATTTAAATTACTTGAATTGCAACTTTCTGTGTCCTCCTATTAGATATAACATTTCTTCCTCTCCTCACTGCGAGATTTTGGGACAGCTTCGCTCGTTCCGCAGTAAATGATCTTTGGATGTTGTAGGTCACTGATCTTTCAGCGCCTTCCGTGTGCTACACCCAGTTGTGCACAGCTCTTCATCTATCGGTAGACCTGTCAGGAGTCCAGTTTCTTGTTTCTGTGCTCAGGCTATTTCTCTATGTGCAAAAAGAGTCGTGTCTTCAGCCACTTTGCTCCCTGGGCTTTTTACCGTCTCTCCTGAACAAATTGCAATTCATGCAAAGACTGCTTTCTGACGGGTCTCCTAGCTCCCAGCAGAAGAACAGCCTTGTTTGGGTGGTATTCTCTTTTCTGTTCCCAAGGAGTCAGTTGGTTCCCCATGCTGATTTATTCACCTGCACAGCTGTTCATTCTGAACAAGCAGATGAATGAATGTTTGCAAGCATTGCACTTGCATCTGCTATAAATTAAGAAATTACATTGCCGCGTGCCCTTCCCACTGGGATACACTAGTTCCTTCCTCTTTGCCCATGATTCTTTTGCTGTGATTTTCAGCTTGTTAAATTTTAGCTTGCTGTGGGTTTATCTGGGTTTTGGTTTCATGTCATGAGATCAATGATTCATGTATGATAAAGCAATTACCAAATGCTTTCCTTTAATTAATTGTTCTTGAATAACAATTTCATCTTTAAAAAAAGAAAAACTCCCCTAAATTAAAGTTTTGGGATATTCCTCTAGTACGCATTTCTTTCTGAGGTAAATAGCAGTGCAGTTTAGAGTACGTGCTCTCATCATTTTCCAAACCATTTTATGAAGCAGAACTGTGTGAATAAAGGTTTGATCATGAATGAGCATGCTGAGATGTGCAGCTATCTTGAACTGCTCTGTTTGCCTCTGAACCAAAGGCTGTCTTCCCAGTCTCACTTTCATCTTGAAGGTATTCTGTGCTTTTATCTCTGTGAAGGCCCGGTAGCTTCAAATTCTTCATTACATCTCTTCCAGTACAATTTTCACTGCTTTCCAGCTAGATCTTTACCATACCTTTCTGAGGCTGATTATTGCTTATTGTAGTACTCCTCTGTAAATTAGTTATTTTTGCTCAAAAGAAATAAAAATGAGAACCATTTAAAGAGCTGTTGTCAACTTAAAAATCACACTTAGTGTAGAATGACTGAAATGAATACTCCTTGTATGGACAGAAGGGGGATTTCCCCCCCCCCCTTCTTTCGGTTTTACTTTTGGTACTGAATAGCACCTTTCCTTAAGTAATTTCATCACATATGCATTCCACCAGTGAAATTTCTGTGAGTCTTCCCTGAAACTGTGTTAAGGGGTTATTGTTTAAAAATGTTAGTAAACATTTTTTTAATGGGAAAATTTGAGAATCACGTTTTTATGAATTCTATATCATTAAAAAAACCCCAAACCTAACAAAAACCCCACAGACAAACCTAAGTCTTTGCCTCTGTTTCTTTACTGTCCTTTTTCTACTCCTATATTTTCTATTTCTGTTACAATTTTTTATGTTGTCCAACTTTTAACTGAACCTGCAAATTTTAAAGGAGAATAATTATTTTTTTTCAGAGTGTTGGGAAGAAATTACCTCCAGCCACAGCAACTCAGGAGCCAACAAAAATAGAAGTGGACAGCAGAACAAAAAGTAGGTTTCATAGTTTTTTCATCTTTGCACTTCATGCTATTAAGCCTCTTAAAAGCAAGCTGAACACTTTTCCCTGGTTTTGGCTAAAAGAGTGTCCTGTATATATGAAAGGAGAGGATGCAGACAGTTATATTTAGGATAAACTTTGAGTAGGCGGTATGTAGAATGCTTTGTTTCACAGAATCCTCTGAATTCTTTTTGCTCTGATAATCCTACCTTGAGTTTTCTGCCACCAAAAATCAAATTAAATTACGTGATCAGCTTTCAGCCTTGAGGGTACTTCGGAATTAATCAGAGTTGAATAAGATCCAACTTCAGGCTGTAACTTGTAGGTAGGTCATAGAAAAATATCTCTGGCTGTGAGTGACCTTGCTTTTTTCCTCTTTTTTCTTTTTTTGTGTAGCAGAAATAATTGGTGTGAGTGGTATAGTTTGTATGGAAAATGAACAGTGTCCAACTTCAGTTCTGTTTGCATCATTTCAATGCTTAGTAAACAAAAACCAATAATTGTATCTTCTAGGCAGGTCTAAGTGCTGTTCTAGGGAGGCATATGCAACTAGCTTACCAAATAATTTAGGTATATATTCCCAATCTTTTGATTTTATTTATATAAAGTTACAACTAAACTTTATGGATTCCAGTAGAAAAGAATAAGAAGGAAAAGAACATAGCCATGCCTTAGTAAAGAAATTGAGTATAATATAAACTGTTGAGTTTTTAAGTCTTGCCCAGTCCTTCTCCTTCCTTTTAGATAGCTAGCAGGTAATGTCTTGTCTCAGAACCAAAACACATACAGACGTAGGAAGGCAAGCATCTGGAGCAGCAGAACAGGGGCTGTCTGAGAACAGTGTATGCTTACGACCTGTTTTACCACATGTTTTCAGCTCAGAGCTGCAAAAGCAGCTTAGAACAACTTTTAGTGAGTTATTGTCCATTAGCTGCACCACGCTAACTGACTCGCGGCATCCTCTTCTCTTGTTCCCCTTGTGACACGAGGCTGTTAAAGGGAAGTACTGCAAGAACTCAATTGCCCTGAGGAAATGAGAACTCGAAATACTGAAAAATGAGCAAACTGGTAATGTAGAGCAGGGCTCCTGAATGAATGTGTTTGGAATTACCTTTCCCAACCTGCAGCTTGAGCAGGTTAAGCTGACCGGAGTGGAGGTGCCCATCAGAAGGGATGGTCCCACGGGCTTTCCCCCCGCAGCACTAACCCTTGTGTGGTAAGCCAGGCTGGGAGGCAGCTGCCTCGTTCCACATCAGCTTGTACTTCTGACAGCTGAAACTGCATCCCAGGGTACTGGGGTTTCATACTTATACCACTTACAAACAAATGTGGAAACCTTATGAACAGTGGTTGGAGAACTGTACCTTCTACGGTGACACACTGAGCTCTGGTTGACACAGAGACACTTCTCCATCAATGGTTCTGGGCTCTAGTCGGTCCTTTCACCTTTTTGTTATTTCCCTCGGATACACCTTTTTGGTCAGAAAATCCCTCTTCTGTTGCCATCTATTTTCACCACGGTTGTGTGCAAATGTCATTCAACATCCCTTTTGCCAGAACCGATGAGAAGGGTGGGCTACTTATTTGTACAGTATCTTCGCATGTTCTATGAATTTTACCTAAACTTTATTATTTAGGACATTTTCTCTTTCCTGGAATCTCTGGGGCCTCAGTAGAATTTTTGGCATCTCTGTTCTTGCTTGGGAAAGAGAAGGACATGTATAGGAAGGTCTGATATAATGTAATTATATATAATTGTCTTAGCCTCAAATGGTGTCACAGGAGATACTTTCCAATCAGTTGAAGCTGTCTTCATTTAAATTGAAAAACCTTCCAGTGAACATGAAACATACTTCAGTCTGGTTTGGGTTTTGATATAGGCAGAGGAATATTTTTTTCATAATACAGTTAAATGTCTGATAGTGAGACCTGAGGAGTACAATCAGAGTCTGGCATATGACTATGATTTATCTAGTATTTGTCATTTCTCCAAAATCTAATTTTTGCGTTCTCCTAAAAACCTACCACAAACAAGCTTGAAAAAGCATTGAATCCAGGGAAGTTGGCAGTCTCAGAAAACTGATGAATGGCCTAATCACAGCGTTCAGCATAGAAGTATCATTCCATCTTGGACCTCAGGTACTTTCACTTTTGTCTGGGATGGTAGGGTCCCAGTCTTCCTTGGAGTCTTTAATTGCTGAACAGAATAGATACTGTGCCATTCTCCAAAGAAGCAGCAAGAAACAGAAGATCCATAGATTCAGCTCAGTATGGAGAGGGGACTTTTGGCTATGTGATTTAGATTCCCTTGGGATTACTGCTGGAGACGTATGCTGCAAGCAAGAGAGAGGTTATGTTGCTAGAGGAATAATGCAGTTTTTCATCTTCCACCTACTTTTTTCCGTGACTGATGCTGTTATTCCTTAGTCTCAACTGGACAAAAAATGCAATTGTACTGTGAAAGAGCCTGCTGAGAGAGGAAATGGAGAGCGGTAGCATCTTCCCTCTTTGCCCGCAGGGGCTTCAGCATGGAGTGATGGTTGCTGACTCTTCCCACATCTTGATTTGAGTCTGCTTTTTTCCTATAGCTTTCCTGGTGTGGTAGGGCAGTGATTTGCAGCAAGGCACTTGATGCACTTACCATTTGCTCTTAGGACATGCAAGGTGGCCTAAGTTCTGCAATGGGGTGTGTTGGTTGGAGCAAAAGACAGAGCAGCATGTTCTATAGATGCATCTCCCAATAGTATGCTATGTAAATCTCCCTAAGAAGTGGTCTTAAGATTTTGAGGGATAAACGGATGACTCTTCAAGGCAAAAGAGGACCTTTTGCTCAAAGGGAGAGCACACTGAAAGCACAGATCCTTACAGAGCTTGAGTGGACCCTTGGAAAACATCACTAACCTTTCAGGAATGAAGGAATGCATCTTTGAAGAGAAGAGGGGAGAGCTGTTTGGTTTAGGTTTGTGGGTGGCTAGGCTTACAGGGGAATTATTCTGCTGTAGAATTTCCATCTCTCTCATGTAGCTGGGATGGCATATGCATGCATGTGTGTTTATAATTCTATCTCGGGGGTGAGATATATTGGTTTTTCTATGAAGTACCTTGCTTTTAGTTTAAGTGGCTTGCAGTGGGAAGGCTATATTGTAGAAAATATATATAAATTTTTAAGTAGCTCTGTTGGATTCTAAAATTCAGCAAAGCAAAAACATCTACAGTGACTGAGACAGCTATTGCAGATTACTGAGATTGCAAAAATGGAGTATAAATAAGCAGACAACAAAACAGCAAAGGCAATAAGTCACAGAATGCACTGACCACAGCACTTAATTTGATTACTCCACTCACTATTTACAATTTGTGTTAACCTATTGCATAATAGGAATACCAAAATCCTAGCAAGTAACTAATGTTTTTGCGTGATGGTAGAAGGTGTAAGGAGTAGCTGAATCTAGATTAATGGGGCCCTAATTAGTTCTGTTTCTATTTTTTTTTATGAAATGGTGGTTTGACAGTTTGAATATTGTGAAGTTCTGTGAAAATATTTATTAGTGCAATCCATTTATGAGTCTTGAGTATGGCAGTTAATAGTTTTGCTGAATGTAGTGTTTGGGTTTTTTCATCTGGTTTGTGGTTTTGGTAATGATGTAATTTTTCACTAGATTTTGTACATTTTATTCCATTTCAGGAACATTTTATGAGTGATAGTTAAAGAGAGGAAGCTTAAGCTCAAGGAATACTACTTTAATGCTGCTTCTTTTCTTACTTAGTATTACTGTTTGTGTCCATATTGATTGGTGTATGATTTAGACTTCATCAAGGGGGAAATATTTAAGCCTCAAAAATCAACTAGACAGGTTTTTTGTTTGTTTTACTAAAAAATAAATAAATAACCAATTTCTGAAAAGTTAGAAGGGTGACTCCAGCCCAGTGATTACATTCCCTGAGATGGAGGAAATCTTGCCATGGGGTTGAAGAGTTCTTACCTAACAAAAAAGAAGCAGCATCAGATGTGAGAGGAGGAAATTGTGTCATCCTGGCCTAAGAGGAAAAGCAAATTCCAGACTCACTGTCCCCTGTGAAATTTAAGCTTGAACATATGTTTGTCTGTGGACTGTTGTCTCGAATGTCACAGCTCATCCTTAGAGTCTGGCAGGAGAACAAATAGAAGAGGCATGCTTTTAAAGTGAACAGGGTCCACTGGTACAGTAAATGGAGTTTGCTCAGTTCTGGTTTGAACAGAATAATATTTAACCAGTTTCTCAAAATGCAAACAAATGAATTTACCTACTACAGTACTGCAGAATCCCAAGTCATATAGAAGGTCTATACGTTGAAACCAGTGCTTTACCCTGTCATCGTAAATACATATCGAGCCGCTGAATTCTGTGGGTGAAATACAGTGCTTGTAGCAGCCTAGATAATGAAGCAGCTGTATTCTGTAGGAAGGCTCTCTCTTGCTAGTGTTCTCCCTCTTTGAGGCAATGATTTTCTGGGGGGCTTGAGACTGTATCAAATAAGCCGCATTTTGAACTCAGGACAGACTGTGGGGCATGAGGTGCTGAACAGAGATGCATGTTAACTACCCCCATAAAACATCCAGTTCTTTTTAGAGGATAGCCCCTTTATAGTGTTTAGGATGAGACTTTTTCCTCAATGAAGTATGGGCAGTGACAGACCACATGATAAATATGTAGTTCTTTGCAGCTGCTTTTCCTTCCAACTTGTGGTGGGTTGACCCTGGCTGGACACCAGGTGCCCACCAAAGCCACTCTATCACTGCCCCCCTCAGCTGGACAGGGAGAGACAATATAATGAAAGGCTCGTGGGTCGAGATGAGGGATAGATCACTCACCAATTACCATCACAGGCAAAAGAGACTTGACTTGGGGAAATTAGTTTCATTTATTACCAATCAAATCAGAGTAGGATAATGAGAAATAAAACCAAATCTTAAAACACCTTCCCCCCACCTCTCCCTTCTTCCCAGGCTCAA